CATATTAACAACAGAAAGCATTTTTTGTATAAGAATAATAATATTGTTATCCATTAAGTAAACCCTAAATCTGTTAATACGCTTTTTAAAAAATAAACAATGTTAATCATTTTAAACATGATATACGAAGACTCATAATGTTTTCATTGAATAAATAATCATAATAAAATAAACATAATAGATTTTTATACTGAAAAAAATCTCAGAATTAGTAACTAACTTATTTGTTTCCCAAAATAAAGGACACATGGATATATACTCTAGAATAAAAACCTCTAATGGATTCATTCAATAACCATAGCTACATCATAATGAACATAAAAAAGGATAAATGTAAATAAAATTGATGTTTTTTAAGGTTTAATGCGTGCTTTTTTTACGCATGTAATGGACAAATGTGATTGCGTTTGCGATATAAAGTAAACTACTCTTTTCTAAAAGTTAATATCTTAGTTGCTTAAGAAACCTGTTTGGTATTACACAACAGTTTCCAGTATGTATTCTTTTATTCAGATATAAGAAAAAGCTAGAAACGAATATTTTATCTTGAAAATTAGCTAAGAGTGTACTAAATTTGTTATTAAAACATATAACTTCACTATTGACTAGATTTAAAAATGGAAATTTTAAGGTTCTGACGGGATACTGTAATTCATGGATTTGACCAAGTATTGATGAAGATTTATCTGCATCATAAATTGACTGAAGTGGGAACTATGAGAAAGTGCATCCTATTTCAATTTTCCAACTGATATTTCATTATTTAGGAGATTGAAATATTTTGGATACTATTCTATTTGTTTTCAATCAACGTTAAGAAATATTAAATTCTAACAAAATATTTGTTTACATTTAGCTTGTCTTTCAAGTGTTTATCAGTTTCGATTGCGATAAGTCTCTTCAAATTACCTAATACAACAAGGTATTTATTGTTTTAATGTATTAAATCTCATCATCATTCATTAAAATTCGTTTTCTTGAATTCTCAGTTGACAAACCATCATTATTTAAAGGCAGAGATGACTGGTGATTAGTAATTAAATCAAGAACGCACATTTCATCCCATTTAAGACTTGTCAGCCAGATGTACCTGCATCTTAGAGTTGATGTACATTCGGAAGCTCGAACCCAGTACTATACGCTTCAAATTTTGATTGCGTTATCCACAGGATGTATATATGACAGATCAATTGGAATCTTAATTGTCAATGAGAAGATTCGAACAACCAATACAAAAAAAAAGAAATATGTATCAGTGTTTAATATCAAAATGGTTAACTTTGAAAACATTTATGAATAGGTTATATTCAAAAAACAAAAAGCAGGTCATATTCTTATAAGAAAACTTTTCAATAACTATCGGAATAATGTATCTACTAAGTACTGAAAATAATGTAACCTATAATTTATAACAATGTTTTATAGGAAATAATATTTACCCCCAACCATGTAATTTATTAAAATGTAAACAGCATGATTGAAATATTGTTATAAACGTTTCTCTCTATTTTCACGCATACACATAAAACGTAATATAAATATAAGAATAATTGTGAAAATTACACTGCCTATCTATACGTATCTTGATTATTTATTTACTTTTCTATATTGATGGGTTACTAATTTGGGAATAATACCGAAAATTATCATATTCCGTGTGAAAATTTTCTGGTCAAATGAAAACGAGGGTTATTTTAATTTGTTTGTTTGTTTTGTTTGTCTTTCAACAGGACACATTAAAAGCCAATTATTATAATCGTTTTTTGTTTACAAATAGTTCAAATAATCTGTCCAGTTATTGTCGTCTAATACTTGTTATGTGTTAAGCTTGAATAAATAGGATAATCTGACATGGTTCATTTTTTCTTAATACTAGAGATGGAAAAATAAAATAAGGATAGAAGAAAAATCAGATGTGATTGAAGTGTGAATTTACTTAAATAATGTTGAGTGGATTTTTTTTTGGGGGGGGGAAATTTCATTCCGTTTTATTCGATTTAAATACATTTGAATCACATGAGGCGGGATCATGGAGGCGCACTGCTGAGGAGTTCCATACTAGAACGAAATGGCCGTTCAGTTCTTCCAGGTTTTCAAAGGTGGTCTAGCTTCAATCTACTCATGATATTAACTATTGAAATTACATTTAATTCAGTTATGTTATTATATGATTTGCATGTTAATAAGACTTGAAAAACTAATGGATATATTTTTTTCTCTTAACAAAAGTATTGAAGGTATTTTTATTCATTGATGATGATGAATAAATGTGTGGAAATGAAGGATATCGAATTATTTTTAGCAATGAGTTAAATAAATTAAAACAAAATAACGAACAAAGTATAATTTAAAACAAATACTGAACAGAATATAAATCTCAGTGTTATGGAATATTAAAAAAAGATCACATTATTAATACTAGTGTAATTATAATAAATGCATAGATAGCTATATACACATACAATATTTATTTAAGCTTATTGTACTATACATTATATGTTATACATACAAACAAACAAAGATTTCCTATTTTACTAATAAATTATGTCACGCAATACTTGATCAATCAAGAGAAAACAATATACAGCTGTTATTATTTTTATCTTAGAAAAAAACATTCCCATAGGAACAAAGCTAAATATTTGATCTTGAGTTTCATTGGTTAAACAGTACACCAATCGATACCCTTTTTTGTGAAAAGAGATATTTTACATCAGTTATCTTAATGAATTGATTAATTAATACCTTCTGAAAGGCATCCAATGCAGGAAGGCATTCAGTTTTTGTTTAAATATGAATAATATTCTCTAAGTGGTTCAGTACTACGTTAGTAGTTTTTCTTCACTAAGATCATGTTAAGAAGAGATAGGCAATGATATCTGATTTAAACCTAAAAGTTTCTCTCAAAAGATACTGTTGGTTGGGTTGATTGATAACTAGTTTGTTAAAAATCATATAAAATTCTATTTGTTTCAAGATTTGGATTTCAAATCTGATTTATCCTAGTTTATATTATTATCAGATGGGTTTTTGTGGAGATTGTAGTAATTTCAATGGTTAAGATCATGAGTCAGTTGAAGCTAGACCACCATGGAGAACCTGGAAGCACTGGACGGCCGTTTCGTCCTATTGTGGGATTAGTTGAAGTTAGACATTAACACCATCAGATGCCGGCTCAGTGGTCTAGTGGTTAAGTGCTCGGGTGCGAAAATAGTAGGTCTTGGGTTCGAATCTCGCAGGGGGCGAGGTCGTGGATGCGCACCGCTGAGGAGTCCCACGATAGGACGAAACGGCCGTCCAGTGCTTTCAGGTTTTCCATGGTGGTCTAGCTTCAACTGACTCATGATCTTAACCATTGAAATTATATTAATATGTTGTGTAATATTTCATATCTCTGTACATTGAAACGTTACGAAATAAAATTATTCAGAAATGTGTTGTTGTCGGTTTTTATGCATTAGCAAGCTAGATCTATAACATTCCATTTAACAAAGATTATACCCAGACGAATTTCATCTTATCACCTTACAGTATATTGTGTATTTCATTGTGTTTAAAATAAATATATAAATCATAGTTGTTAATCTATAATGTTCAGTTCCCTACTCAGTAAGGTTGTACAGACAACTAATATAAATGATCTCGCCGTTACAAGGACAAAGTCAGGGGATTTCACCATTTACATGCTTAATTTTGTTTTATAAATATATGTAAATTAAAAAATTTGTTAGACTACATTCATGGTAAAAATTCAAAAGACACATTTATTGTTATCCAATAAGAGAATTATCATAGCTTCAAGTCATCCAAGTTTCTGCGATTCAGAGTTCAGCTCTTAATCTACTATCAACAAATCAAGTGTATTATTATTCTGACTTGCTTTCTCATCTAAACAAAACTCTGTAATATTTGTAGTTTTTGGAATTAAAAAGTTCGATAAACTGTTGATTAGAGTAGACATAGTGGTCTGCAGAAAAAAATAAAGTTGACTATTTGTTTAAAACAACTCTACCAATTACTTAAATTAGTTAACAGTTTTTCAGAAATGAATTTACAAAAAATACTAATGTTTAATTAATAGACTATAACATAATCATATAACCAGAAAGGGGTTTTGTGGATATCGTACTAATTTTAATAGTTGAATTCATGAGTCAACTGATGCTAGACCACAATGGAAAACCTGAAATTACTTGACGGCCGTTTCGTTCTAGTATGGGACCCCCCTAGAAATGTGCATCCACGATCCCATCTCGCGAGATTCGTACCCAGGACATATCAGTCTCGTGCGCGAATGCCTAACCTCTAGACCACTGAGCTGGCCGCCACCCAACGGTGTTAACATCTAATTTTAACCAATCCACCAAATTGAGCGACACATCCACCATTGTCATCAGTGGGTTACTATCTCACAACTGACCCGGTTGAACTCCACTGGTTACAACTGCTCACTAAAACTGCAGGAAGTACCTCTTGGAAACCGTTACTAGAGATCATATGATGATTATAAACAGAGGAATTTTGTGGATATTCTAGTTATTTTAATAGTTGAATTCATTAAAAGCTTTTAAGCACCGGACAGCTCATAATCGGACAAAATGGTTGTCTAGTGCTCCTAGGTTTTCCATGATGGTCTAGCTTCAATTAACTCATGAATTCAACGATTAAAATATTTATATGAGTTTTACTTGAATTTAACTCAGTACTAACAAGATACTACATTTTCGTTTATTCTCATTATCAAATACTGAAGTTTAATTATACGTATTAATTCACAAGAGTTTTCTAATAGGAGAATGTATTAGAAATAAAAATAGATAAAATTAAGATTATACTGTGCACACTCAATAAGTGACTAAGAAACAATAAAGAAAACATATTTTATTGAATGATTTTGAACACTTTGTAGAATCTGAAGTTACTTTTAATCATAAAATTTAGAAATGAATCTTCATATTATTACTTGTAATATTCTCTTTCATTCTTTTTTTCTTATTTAGCTTTATCATTTGATCGATTAGTAACAGAGAATAGACTTGTTTCACACTTGTATCATTGTCCGTTTGATTTGACTAGAATTGAAGGAGAAGCTTGTTTACAAGTAAGTAAAAGACTTAATGCATTATTAAATTATAATCCGAACGAAAAATGAGTTAAAACAGTTTATTCAACTATTTTATAAACTGTGCTTTTGTTTAATATAAACTCAATTATTGATACATATATCCACTACTGCAATCCAATCACAATTGACGGAGAAGATTTGGAAGATGTAAAAACCTTTACATATTTGGGCAGCATCATTGATGAACAAAGTGGATCTGATGCAGATGTGAAAGCGCGGATCGGAAAAGCAAGAGCAGCATATATACAACTGAAGAACATCTGGAACTCAAAACAACTGTCAACCAACACCAAGGTCAGGATTTTCAATACAAATGTCAACACGGTTCTACTGTCTACTGGAGCAGAAACCTGGAGAACTACGAAAGCCATCATCCAGAAGATACAGGTGTTTATTAACAGTTCTATACACTAAATACTTCGGATCCGTTGGCCGGACACTATTAGCAACAACCTACCGTGAGAAAGAACAAACTAGATTCCAGCGGAGGAAGAAATCAGGAAGAAGCGCTGGAAGTGGGTAGAACACACATTGAGGAAAGCATCCAACTGCGTCACAAGACAAGCCCTCACATGGAATCCTGAATGCCAAAGGAGTAGAGGAAGACCAAAGAACACATTACGCCGAGAAATGGAGATAGACATGAGAAGTATGAACAAGAATTGGATGGAACTAGAAAAGAAGGCCCAGGACAGAGTGGGTTGGAGAATGCTTGTCGACGGCCTATGCTCCATTGAGAGTAACAGGCGTAAGTAAGTAATATCCACTACTGATCAATTCACATAACCTTGACTAATACAGTTTGAACATAATACAAAAAAGACCTTTAGCATATATAATTTAAGAATCAAATATTTATTCCTATAAATTTCTAAACAGTAATAAATGGTTGAATATAGCTGACAGAAAATTCTAAACATGGGATGGAGAATGCTGGTCGACGGCCTATGCTCCAATGGGAGTAACAGGCGTAAGTAAGTACATAAGTAATGTATATAGGCAAATATTTGAACCAAATAGTACTAACACTTAGTATTGTTTGTTTGAATTTTCCCATTGTTGTTTAGGACTGTAATCGATCTGCCTCTTATTGGTATATATGCATCTTATGCGGATCACCTCGATATTGTCTTAAGTCACAAGCTAGTAGGGGAATCCGTGTCGCGCGTTTTGTTTTAACAATTTTAACAAAAGGTTTTATTCATAAACACTAACAGTTCTTGTCGACTATGTTATGTTAATAATGAAGGCTGGAATCTAATCTAGTCAGTCTTTTAAGATTTAAATGTGGAACGATATTAATATTAAATCTCCTTATAAAAATACGAGAATATGATAAAACAATTTGAAATAAAGGAACAGTTTATACTATTCTGCATTTGGATCCCAAAGTTTGACTTTGAAAGAAAGAATCTTCTAAACTTCTAATTGATTTATGTTCCGCAATTCAATATTTATACCATCAATCAAATTTTAATACAACTTCCTACGTTTTAGCATACAAATTATAAATTCTGTGGTCAAAAACTTTGTTCCACAGTAGTGGCATATAAATTCTAAATATTGAAAAACAGAAACTTGGTACTCGAAATTTTCTTCAATGTTAGTTAAGAATGCCATATATACATAACGGATAACTTGGGATCATTCTAAGTATTTTAATAAACGTTATGTTGTTAAGCTATTCAAGTTTATTAAGATGAAGGTGTCAAATTTATTGTTCAAACAAATTTCAACAGTACTTTGGTGACTTGGCAATATGGTAGCTATTCAAATCCACCTTCGAGATAATAATTAAGGAAATTTATAAAGATACTATCTAAATGTACTAACTAAATAATAACCTCTAATCTGAAATGGATACATTTTTAAAACGGTGTAAATTTCTTCAAATATAATCAAAACCTCATCTAAATTTGAAGTAAACAACAAATGTATAATCATAAACAAAACTAACGATGATTTACTATGTATAATTAGTGAAACATACTTTACTCTGATTTTATAGGCTTTAAATGGATTTATATTTATTATGTCCTGTGATGGTGAAGTATTTTCTGTATCAAGAACTGTGGAGCATTATTTAGGTTTTCATCAGGTAAGTAACTAACTAAATTATCAATGAAATTACATTAAATATGAGCAATATAATAAAATGCTTTTGTATCAGGTGAAACTAGTTCCTTTCATTGTGAGGTACCGTTATTTGGAATTCAGGAATACTAGTTAACCGATTTGTCATAGATTAAGATTGACCAAAAGTGTTGTACCAAAAGTTCCACATTTGAGATAGCAACGTGGATTACAACCTCCCGCTTTTGAAACCCATTGATTTACATTTTTGACCGTAATCAATTTATAAATCTTATCAGATTTCACTATTGTACTACCATTTCATTACCCAATTTCCTGAATTCATATATAATAGCTTCTCAATAACTGATGGAGAAATATATTTTGAAACAAGTTATCAGTGTACAAATACTAAGTTGATCTGTGGAGATTCTGTACAATTAAAAAATAATCGTTATCACACATATTAAGACATTTTTATATATTTAATTTTTAAATTCACTAGTTGATTATCTTCTAAAGCACAGATAGTTGATTATGTATATGATATTCTATGGTAACATCTGTGACTACAACAATAGATGTGGATTAGAATATCTATGTGAGTACAAGTTTATTTAAGATTGCAACTGAACCTTGGAGACGAATTTAATCTAGTACGAAATATTAATCTAAGAGTTCTTATTAATCTCAGTCGTCTGTCTGGAACGAAATAAATAGTGCCGAGCTATCAAATCACTTTTTCTAATTAGAATATTACAAACTTGATTTATAGATGTAGTCAACTTTAAGGACTAGACAAATCGATATTGGTTGTTAAAAAATTATAAGCCGTTGATCTGTCTAAGACAACAGTTCTGTTTGTCTTTATTTCGCTAAGTATTCTGTCTTGAAATTAGTCTTTTTTACTATTACGTAGAAAATGTTTTGGGTTACATTTTACCATATTAAAATGTGATTTGACGACTTAATGACTCTCCTAAGTGTCGTTAAAGTAATTTATAACAATACAGTAAGTGAAATATATTGCTAAAAGCAATCTCTGATAATTAATATTCTAAGGAATTGCTGATATAAACGACTGAATTACTTATTTCTCATCAGTATATGGACTAGCAATTGGTGGTTATCTGGACTTCACAACTTAGACAATAATTCCTTGATATTTGAATCTATGGGTACTTGGATGTATAAGTTCAACTAATTTGCAGCAGTACGAAACGTGCATCATGAATTTTATGATAAACCACTTCTTAAAACATAATCCAAGCGCTTACATATTCGTATCTGTCTGAGAATATTTTAAAATTCCGAAGGACGGTAAAAAATAAAAAAAATAAAATCATGTTTATGAAACACATTACGTTGTAGTTAAATTAGTCCTTAAACTGTGATAAACATGAATGAAAACAAAGTTGTACTATAAAAGTTTTTGGTTGTAACAAGCCAATAACAAGAATATATTCCATAGTTGAACTGCAAAAACACCTTTCGAAGCTAATGTGATTACTCAGCAACGAGATTTCTTTATCATGAATGACTGATTACTTTAAACAGTTGAGATCCTGAGTCAATTGAAGCTAGACCACCACGGAAAACCTGGAAGCACTGGACGGCCGTTTCGTCCTATTATGGGACTCCTCAGTAGTGCGCGTCCACGCTCCAGCCTGGCGGGATTCGAACGCAGGACCTAGCTTCAATTGACTCATGATCTCAACTGTTTAAATTACTACAATCTCCACAAAACCCCTTCGGAAACTAATTAACATATGCTCACTAGTGACTGGCTTCAAGATATATATCCTGGAGTTCTAGTGAGAAGCAGTGACCAGTGGAGTTCAACCGGGTCAGTTGTGAGGTAGTAACTCACTGATTACAATGGTGGATGTATCGCTCAACTTGGTGGATTGGTTGAAGTTAGACATTAACACCGTTGGACGCCGGCTCAGTGGTCTAGTTGGTTAGGCGCCTGGCGCGAGACTGATATGTCCTGGGTTCGAATTTCGCGAGGCTGGGTCGTGAATGCGCACTGCTGAGGAGTCCCATAACAGGACGAAACGGCCGTCCAGTGCTTCCAGGTTCTCCATGGTGGTCTATCATCAATTGACTCATGATCTCAACTGTTTAAATTACTACAATCTCCACAAAACCCCTTCTGAGACTGATTAATTCTTAATCATAACTTATGTCATATACTATTCTGGAAATCAGAACACGCTTCATTTATGACTGTTACTCACAAAAACAGTTTGAAATATCCATGGGAAATATCAAAGTAGTTATGAAATTCCAGTTAAATAATAAACTTATTTAATTTTCTGGTTTCGTATTAGCATAATACAGCATTGTTGAACTTACTGAATATCATGTGTTGTATTTAGAGGCATGACATCACCATATAAATAAGCATAATGGTAGTATTATATTTCAAGTACAATAAAGATTGGGTAAACTCACCGCATTTCTATTTTCTATGACAAAAGAATAGAATTTTAACATCTGAATACAGGATAAAGGTTAACAGAAAGCAAAATTATACAAAATAAGCTCATGATTATAGTTTTATTGATCCTAAATAAATATATCTGTGACTTAGATTCATTAGGAGAAATATATGTAGGCCATCACCTGGTCAGGTGAAGAATCTTTTTCATACATATAATAGGCACCTGAAGATTATTTCACTTTAGATTGTCTTATATCTATATGATTCTCACAAAGGGAAAGACATTCATTTTAAGAACTTTCATCTAAAATATGGTATTGTTAGGTTAAGCAATTACTCTATAAATGAATATTACAGTGAAATAAGTTAGGTCAAGAGCTTATGACACACAGAAGTATATGAATACACATAGACACATTCACACACCGGAACAGCTGATTTACATAAAAGAAACAATGTCTGATTATTCATTTATATTCTCTTATAGTCACTATGAACTATTCAGTAATTTTATGGAACTTTATTGTAATCGATCGCGTAAGGGAAACAGTCATTTTAATTTATTATTACTGTCTAATGTATACAGCACAATAATAGAAATCGTATATTTATATAAAGCAAAGGTGTTATAAGTTTTCATTTTGAATAATAACTCTCTAGAGGTTATTGATAATCATTTGTTAACAACCAATGTGTTGGAAAACTCTCCCAAATCCACTTGTAGGACATTATGCTATGTTCTATGAATTAAATAAAAATTCTTTATTTTACTTCACCAGAAAAATACAGTAATTAAGTTTCACAATTGCTAGAATAGTTATTTCATCATACAATTTACAAAATGCTACAATAATCTATTCTGTTTTACTTTATAGGCTGATATTTTGCATCAAAGTGTATTGGAATTGATTCATTCAGAAGATAGAGAGGAATTTCGAAGACAACTATCATGGAAATCAATGCTTCCACCTGAGTTTCATTCATCTACATTGCATGATTTGATGACTCCTGGTAAGTAATTAAAGATGACAAGTTTCTTTAGTTTAAAATACAAGACTATTTTTTAAGAAACCAATTTTTACAGCACCATTCAGGACGCTCGTTAGCGAATAAAACACACCATTTAACTTTTGAAGTAATGAAAAGTTGAAGATTCATAAAGTTATCTATTATGAAATAATCATTTGGTCCACAAATTCTTTAAAAACTTTCTTTCTCTCTCTTTATTCTTAGAATTAACATTGTTATCAATGTTTAGAAAAGTTAAAAACCATTTAATAATGCACCATTCATGTTTAGTGATCAATGTTTATTTGTACATGAAAAAAATTGCTCATTATTAAATCGTGATAAATATTTATATTCAGAGAGGGATTTTGTGGACATGAGTTAATTGAAGCTAGACCGCCATGAAAAACCCGGAAGCACTAAACGTTTATTTCGTTCTAGTATGGGACTCCGTTGGATGCCGTCTCAGTGGTCTAGAGGTTAGTCGTTCGCGTGCAAGAGCGACAGGTCCTGGGTCGGAATCTTGGGAAGCCAGACCGTAGATGTGCATTGTTGAGGAACCCCTCAGTAGGACGAAACAGCCGTCCAGTTCTTGCAGGTTTTCCATGATGATCTAGCCTTAATTGATTCATGAATTCAACTATCAAAATATTTATATGTTTATCATGATTTATTTCTACTTTTCCTTAACCGTTTGTGAATTGATGTCTCATTATTATGGTTACAAGTAATTCTTAAAACTGTTGATTATTGAGTTAAATAAATCAATTTATTGAAAATGAATTGGCATATTTTTTGAACCACTATTCTTTTGAATAAATGATAAAGAAAAAGAAGAAAAAGAGGATAATGCCCCATGTTTTACAGGTTCTTATTCTTCTTTTAAATGGTGTGAATAGTTTAATTTTTACTTTTCTCTCCTCTTCATATGGATCATTATTAGGTTTTTCTATCAACACATCATTAAAGAATATTAACAATAATAATGAAAAGTAAAGAAAATTGATTGCTCTTAAAAGCTTTTTTTCTTTAATTATAAATCTCTTTATTGTTCCTGAAGGGAAAATCATTTAGTGTAAGTCGTTTGACGTTCTTTATTTTTTGCTTTTGGTAAAATGATAACAGCTTACTAATGAATCTTATAGGTTTTCTTTTTAAATTACTTTAATCATTCAATTATCAACTTTTATTGGTGTAAGGTAAATCTAAGTTTGCCTGTGACTGAAAAATAATGTTTTCAGTGAATAGGAAAATAACTTTTTTCTCCCTTATATTGACAAGAAATTAGAGATATTTTAAGAATTTTATTGAAATCATACATAAATGACATGTGGTTTGTTTAATGAGCCAACTTCCTTATCTGCGAAAGTTATATGTAATTACTATATTTTCAGATGAATTGTACTAATACTAAGTAATAACTATAATAAGTACTGACTTACTTACGCCTGTGACCCCTCGTCGAGGAGCATAGGTCGTCCACCAGTATTCTCCATCCAACCCTATCCTAGACAATCCTTCACATATCTTTACCGTTTCTATTCATCTTTTTCATGCCTGTTTCCAATTTCCAAAGTAGTGTGTTATTTAGCCCTCCTCTTTCTCTTTTCCTTTCAAGATTTTTAGTTGACGCTTACCTTGTGATGCAGTTCGATGATTTACATAATGTGTCTTATTCACTTGCAACGTCTTTTCCAAATTTCCTCTTCATTTGAAAGCTGGTTTGTTCTGTCTTACGGTAGATTGTTGCTGATAGTGTCCGATCAACGATGAACATTGAGTATCTTGGGTAGACAATTGTTTATAAATACTTGTACCTAGTTGATTATGCTTGTGGTAGTTTTCCAAGTTTCAGCTCCATACATTTGAAATGTCTTGACATTCGTTTTAAAGACTGTGACTTTGATATTGGTTGACAGTTGTTTTGAGTTCCATATGTTCTTCAACTATAGAACTGTAATAAATGAGATTCTTAAATTTCTTTTTCCATTTTGCATTTAATAAAAATAGTTCATTTACTATTATAATTATGTTAAGAGATAATTTGAATATACAATAAATTACAATCATTTCTTTTAAATTTAATTTTATTTAGAAACTGCTCATTACTTAAAACGTCAATTCACAGTACGATTTCGGTGCCTTTTAGATAATACATCTGGATTTATTGTAAGTTATTTTTGTTTAATCCCAAAACATTGATAAAAATTGAATTTTATCCCTCACAATTATACACTATTGTGATGAATTTATTTCAACAGATTAAATGAACTAATTTTCTAATGTATATATATTAAGACGATTACTTTCTCATCTAATGTATACATGCAGTCTTATATTAGTAAATGTTAGATCAGTTTAGTACAGAGATTTAAAAATGTTTGGTAATCATTTATATCAGAACGGGGTTTGTGGAGATTGTGGTAATTTCGATAGTTGAGATCATGAGTCAATTGAAGTTAGACCACCATGGAAAACCTGGAAGCATTGGACGACCGTTTCGTCCTAGTATGAGACTCAGTAGTGCGTATCCACGATCCCGATAAGTCCTGGGTTCGAATCTCGCGAGGCAGGATCGTAGATGAACACTGTTGAGGAGTCCCATATTAGGATGAAACGGTCGTCCAATGCTTCCAGGTTTTCCATGGTGGTCTGGCTACAATCGACTCATGAACTTAACTATTAAAATTACTACACTATCAACAAAAAACCCCTTCTGATTCAATTCATATTTTGATTAGAGCAGTATAAGATAATAACCATTTTAAAACATAATTACCACTTTTAATTATTTATCAGTATTAACAAACCAATGAATCAAAATTATACCACTAAGTGAAATATACAGTTCTACTATGAAAGTTTAATAAAATGTTCTATTAAAGAATAAACTAACACTGAAATCTTCCAACTGATCTACTTATTCATTAAATGTGAACGAATTGTTGAATACTCACTTGTAACTTCTATGTCAGCAGTTATTGTTTAATATATACGTTGTCTCACTTTAAATTTACCAGGGAATTCTAGGGAATTCTCAAGAATATATGCTACTGTGAATTTTTAAACTATATAAGTATTATAATACAGATACTGATTTAATCTTTAGTTTCATGGAGTAAAAATTGATTGTCATTAACATTTGGTTTGTTGGCAGTTATTCTAGAAGTAAATATAAGTTACCTAACACATTTAAAGTACCTTTATAAACAAAATTACTCAGAAAATGCATGTCTAATTTACTTTTTACCTAAAATCTACACTGAGAAATGAATTTTATTCTTTGAACTATTCACATAAAATTATAGTAAACTTTTGTAATAATAAAACAAATAATTTGTTTTAGACACTTGAACTTAGTGGTCGGTTGCAATTTCTACATGGACAAGCTAGAAGTATGCAATTATCTGTTAATTCTGAACAATCGAATTCATGCAACAATCCAAATATATCTAACAAGTATAATACTTCTTGTTCATATAATGTATCAACTTCTAATCAACATAATTTACCGCCTCTTGGTTTTTTTGCGGTCTGTAGTCCACTAGGACCATTACCAAGTTTAAATGGTCCACAACGTGATGCAACTTTTAAAACAAAACATCAATTAGATTTGACTGTTATAACAATAGACGCTCGGTGAGTATTCATTTTGTTGTAAATTGTGTTTGACAAAACGTGTGTATTCTTGGAATACGGGAATAAAACGGTTTAATATAAAACTTTATTATAGTTGTTTATTTTATAGTTCTTTAAACTCTACTCCGTCTTCATATGAAATACAGATATTTTTTATAGATATTTCAGACACATGGTAGACTGAAAGACTATCCAACTGACTAATCAGTTGATTAAAAAGTTAACATTTAATTTCGCTACATATTATTCAAAGCTTTACTCTATTTTCATGGCTTAACTCCAGAGTGATTCAGTCGTTTGTAAGTATAAGTCATCTAAGCTAATTCGTAACTCATGTAATCGAAATTACATCTATTTAGAACAAAATAACTATCTACGGATTCAGAAACATCAGCACACATTTGATCGACTAAAGTTAGACGTTAACAACCTTGGATGCTGGCTCAGTGGTCTAGAGGTTAAGTATTGACGCCTGAAACCGAAGTTCCTGGGTTCGAGTTCCACAACCAGGATCGTGGATGTGCACTGCTGGGGAGTCTTATACTGGGACGAAACTGCTGTCCAGTGCTTCCAAGTTTTCAATAGTGGTCTGGCTTAGATTGACTCATGAATTCAACTATTAAAACTTGATATCATAGACAAGAGAAATATGTTATGTAAGTTGATAAAAGGCTTAACCTAGATTAACCATAATCGAAATTGGTTGTAGAATAGTTGATATAACCTTAAATACTGGCTGTTGATTGCTATTTTCGTATACATTTTTTATAGTGCTCGACTTATATTCAATTACTCTGACAGTGACTTACAAAATTTCAAAGTTTATGACTTAATACACCCAGACGATTTACGTTATGTTGCTAGAGGACATAAAGAACGTAAGTTAACAAGTATTTTATATTTCTTTTCAAATATTACGTTTTCCCTTTTATAAAACGCGTATTCATGAAATATTTCATTTTATCTAATTAAGTATAATTCAGATCTACAAAAGAATTTCAGCTGTTTGACCTCACGTCACTCAGTTTTACAATGAATGACTTTTCCACTTAGGTATTTAGATCGCGACTATTCTCATGTAGGACTGAGATAATTATACTGGTTGATCACAGAACACTACTCGATTTCATGTTTGTCTAGTCCTTACTGCCGACGAAATTTGGCAGGAAGTCAACAGAGTTTCTAATAGTTCAGGGGTAAAATTTCCAAATGTGGTACTGGGTAGGGTGGTTTGGGAACCCACAGAAATCGCATACGTTCTTTATTGAGAGGTGCCAACTATAACACAACCAAGGTTGAGGCCTCTCTTCTTAATGTCGATATTTCTCTTAAATTATATACATTAATGAAAGAACAATGTTATGGTTCGAAATATGCACTTATGGATGAAATATGCAGTAGATTGTTATAACATAGAATTGGTTTAACTAGTTTTCAAAGTTTAAGTACCAAGATAATACAAATAAACTTTTATTTTGATAGTTTTTAAAGTAGGTTCACTTGGCTTACTTGTACACCGATGGTTGAATAAACAATCTCAATGGATTTGGCTACAGTCAAGAACAAAACTTATTATGAAAAACGGTAAACAAGATCATATTATTGTGATACACCGACAATTGTCGTAAGTTTCAATTTTAATATATTAGGCTTTACTTCAAGAATTCTCATGATCAGATCAATGTAAATTACTTTTATTGAGTTTAAAATTGATAAATTTGTATTTATTGAGATGGGTTGCTATATTCACATTATTTTCACTGTGTTAACATTCACTGAAAAACCAAAAAGTTCGGCCTCTTTGTAGTTTACTTTTTATCTGTTACTAGTTTTCAGTATTCTGATTTACATGGTTTAATTACTGAGATTTCATTTTGATCAAATTATTCGGTACACACTTCATATAGAAGTGAGCTTTCTAGTTATTCCCAAAGTGTAATATCAATTCATTTTAATAACATTGTTTGTGATTGGTTGTTTTCGTAGGTTTCATTGTTTTCATTTATCTTTGTATTCACTTTGACAGTTGTAGTTGGTTGACCTCTGGTCTTGTGAGTGATTGAACTCTTCCATATTAGTTCATAGATCGCTTCAGTGTCAGTGTATCTGTTGATTGATAGTTGATCTGAATACCATGCTTCTAGAGATTTCCTGACATTCTTTAAGTTTCCTTGATCAAAAATTTTAAGGTTTTTCCAGTTGCATTCGTGTTCATGATTTTTTTCATGCATTGATATTAGTGATAACATATCATGTCGTCTTACTGTTAATCAAAGGGTGAAGAGTCATCTGAATTCACTTATAACCGTTTTCTGACAGTTTAGCTACTACAACTATTTTCCAATTAATCAAATATAATGTTCGTGAATTTCAACATATTTGTCATTCACCTTTTTCAAAAGGATGGAAAAAACGAAAAATATACCAAGAACTCCAATGTTTCTGTTTCAATTTTCCAATATATAACATTTCAACAATTGAAAACTTTTTCTCATAATAGTGCCTAAGTATATATAATTAGCATTTACAATTATTCAGTTCAAATAAGTATGAAACAGGTAAATTGATTGCAATATTTACACAGTTGAAAATTAAGTTGTTCACTATTGAATCAGAAAGCATCAACGGAAATTCGTACAGTTAGAAACATTGGTTAGTCAGTTAGTTAAATGAAAACCCACTTAATTCCTTTACGATTGTTCTGTACTTAAATAACTTTAGTTAATAAATGATATCACAAAATCATTTTCATGATCAATGGTCAACTACGAAACGTTTTAATTAACGTATACAGAGTATTGATAACAACAATGGATATGATAAAGTGATTTACTATCAAACGATGATGTAATTTATGAATAATTATAGTAGCAACAGTACTAAAAATATTAGTTTTCACCAAGATGAAGTTATATACGCATTGGATATAGGCACTGAGTTTGAATCGGAAGATATTTTTGTTTATTCGACCCTGTAACAATAATTTTTTGAGAAAAATGAGTAAGTAAACATGGATTATTGCCCTGGAGCCTAATCATTTAAAGGATCTTGATGACTATGTTACTATCATTGTTATTTTTGGAAATTATAATTCATAAGTTTTATATATTGAATCGAGTATCGTATCATATTCTGTAATTCACTACAAAAATCTACTCTTAGGATTCATCGGATGATCCCTGTCGAATACCAGATTAATGGAGGAATGGAATATAAATATTTTTTCGTTACTGTTTGAAATCATAGTCGATTTAGCTTAATACTCATTTATATTAGTAGAGACAATAAGCTATGAACTGATAAAACTAAAATAATATTACCTGAATACAGATAATTTATTTATTCATTTATTTGAAACATTTTAGCAATGAAGAAGGGATGGAATTATTGATAAGAAGAACAGATGAATACAAACTACCTTTTCCATTACTTGAACCAGAAACTTTACTAAATGGTGAAGAACTGACAACATGTAATAACAACTTACATATGGATATTAATTCACCTTTTCCAACCGGTCAAATGAAAATTTTTGATCATCATCATATCCTTGGAAGTAATGATCAAAAATTATATGGAGCAAATGTTAAATCTGATAATAAAATTAATTTGAGCTCAAAGCATACACCAGAACATTTCTCTAGTCTTGATATATCCGGTAGAGTTCACAGTAGACACTCTACTGATACAATCAACAGTTGTATGCAAATGGAAAGAGGTATTACTAGATCAGCAACGAATAACTATGGCGACGATTTCCATTTATCTGGACTTGACAATAATCTACTTGAACATTGTCTTAATAAATCCACTAAACAATCTAAGGTTATTTCAGCTACTGTTCTACGTAGAAAAAGGACAATGAAAGAAATAACTAAATCCGAAGTTAATAAATGTAAACTTAATCATCGTGGTTCGTGTACTACAGCATGCACATATGTGTCAAATGCTCAAACTCCTGGTCAATTAAATTATGGTACAAACATTTGTCAATCTACTTATCTTCCATTGGGATTTAATCAAACATTATCAAGAGATAGTGAGGCATTTTATCGAAATCCTTATTTATGTTGGCCAACAAACACCAATAGTATGGCAACATCAGAAAATATCAATTCAAATAGATCAAACAACTCAGAACATACTCCTCAATTAAATTCAAGTAAAGTTGGTTTATTCATGATAAATTCACACTATTCAAGTCAAGATTTAAATGAATTTAATATGCAAGATTATTGTACAACAAGAAATTATCCAACAGCGTATGATGCATATTCAGCAGCTGTTGCTGCAGCCGCTGTTGTAGCAGCTGCAACAAACAGTTGTAATCAGAAACATCAAAGTCAAAATCATCATAATGTATCACTTCATCAACAATATCAATCACAACAAACATTAGATCAAGAAATAAAACATCATCGACAACACGGATTAAATTCATCATATTTTTTAGCAAACACTAATGAATCAAATACTCTTCGTTTTCAACAGACATTAAATGATCCTAATATATTTGATTTGCAAAGAAGACAACAACAGATAGAATATAACTCATCATTAATTAAACAACAAGCCATAATATCTTCTAGTATCCAATCTCCGTTAAATAATTGTACTAGTTATATTTTATCAAATAATTACTTTCCACAAGAACAGTCGATCAATAAACAAAGTTTAAGTAAGGCTTGCATACAATCTAATAATTCATATACAAAAGAATTTCTAAAGCCTAGACATTCAGATTCGTTGAACAGTCTTCATCGGTCACAAATTGAAATCGATGTAAATAATAATAATTCCAACATAAGTGACAATAACAACAGTTGTAATAAATTAGGACAATCAGTTTCATCTTACACATCTATGAATGTAAACCAGTTATTCCCAGAAGATGATTACAGAAATGAGTCAACATACGAGCAAAAAGATACTTCAGCAAATATGTATTTACAACATAATGTTGAACAGGGAATAATATATGCTAATCCAATTATTGACAAGGAGTCTTCATCAACATATTCATCTTATTCATCTCCGCCTAATCTAATAAGCCCACATAACACTGAAATTGGCCTAGAACCAGATTCTGGAATCAGTCAGCATCAACAGAGACAAATACAAACTTCAACAATAGTAAGAATTAATAGTCAATTCACTGACCCGAATAACAATTCATCAAATTCTTCAAAATGTTCTCAGTTTTATGATTCCAACTGCTCTACAAATAACTGGACTGTAAATCCTACTCACACCAATTATAACCAAGTAACAGAATATCTTTCTAATGAATGCTTGTCAGATGTAGACTGTGGAAACTATTATTGTAACCCCAGAGTTTTATCCCTTGCGATATCTATGGATTCATCAAATTCCAGTGCATCTCCTACACCACACGATACATGTATAGGTCAACAAGATAATAAGTTGCTTAAAACAGGAGCCGAAAATGATATTTTTCCTCACAAAACTAACAAATCTGGATCACAGTCTTGCAGACTGCGAGCAAATGATAATTCCAAGGTTGAAATGCCATTATTTTCTGAAATAGATTTTGGTGATCAGAAGCAGGATTTATCAACTTCTCATATACTTGGTGTTAAACGCTCTAAATATGACTCAACGACAAGATGGGATGACCATCAGTAGGTTTTCGACAATATTTTAAACTAAGTGTTTTCAGAAAATAAATGAATTACAGTAACCTTGTCTTAACTTGTTGATAAAATGAAAATCATATCAGATTACGTCAAACAACTTTATCTATAGTTTCCAGTGAATTAAATCAATCACTGTCTAACTTGATGTTTTTCACTGGCTAGTAGTCAAATGGATTGAAAAAAAGACAGGAGTGACCAGAATAAGATATAGTATCAGTTCATGAAATCACTGGGTATTGTTCTTATCTATATTTAAAAGGAGAGACTTTCAAGTTCGAAGTCACGAAATATTTGGAAACATTAAATATAATTATCCGAAATGATTCATAGATGTGCAGATATTTTTACGATTTATCTTTGTATATCTTAGGTTTTGATATGTCTTCATAATAAATATTCCTCTATTTAAATCCTTTTTAAAAAAGTTTATTTTCACTACCGTAGATATCATTAATTATTTACCTCAGTTTTTATCTCGCTAAGTTCCTAGTTTAGTGAGTGTGCATGGGATACATTAGAATTTGTTGTGGTAAACATTTATAGTAATTTTTAGTTTGCTTGTAACTTAAAGTTTCGTCATAATAACAACATCATATAATTATAAATGCCTTTTCTAAAGTCTGCATGTATGTTATAAGAATGACCAGTTCATTAGTAAGATAATGATGTCTTTTCACATAATATAATACTCAGATATTTATTATTTTAATTTTAGCTATGATAACTCAAAGCCAACTGCCATCCCTGTACCTGTTGTATGCAGCGGTTCTTTGAACATTGTTTCTGAAGAATCATCACAGACAGTAAGTACTTATAATTTATACTAAGCTATTTCCTAGTGGTATTAATGAATGTCATTAACACATTTCGACTGTGATGTAGTTCATATTCATTTAAATTTGGATCATAGATAAAACGTTATTTCAATATACCGATTTCGTTTACAATGGATGTGAAAAATATAATCCCCATATTAGAGAACAATTTTTCTTTCTTAAATAAAATTCGGAGATATCATAAAATATCTGTAATGTAGAGAGATATGAACGAAATATCGCATTGCAATAACTTGCCAAACTGTAGCTTTGATAAACATCTACATTCCTGTGTGAGAACTGGATTGTCCAGCCCGTATTCATATATTTGTGATTAGTACTACATATTATCATGGTTGACATAATAAACTGATCTTAATCAGACAACTATTGGAAATTAAGAAACATTGAACAGCTACTTCCTTCTAGGATGAGACTCCTCAAAAGTGGGCATCCACAGCTTTATCCGGGATCGACCCCAGAGCCTTCGGACTCATATGATCATATGTTTATTTCCAAATAGAAAAGTCATCCTGATTAAAATGATTTCTAAAGTTTGCAAAGAAAAAACCTTAAAAATATCCTTATTTGTTCATCATATGAAGTTATACTTAACTTTATTAATTTAGAATAACCGATAAATAGTTTTTATGGCTTATGCATAAAACAGTCATAATATTTAATCAGAATAATATTCGTTACAATTAGGTTACACCATATCAACTGAGCATTTAAGATCGCTCTAAGATTTCCTTCTTTTTATATACCTGTATGGTGAAAATTTAATTTAGTGTGAACAGTGAAGATGATGTAGCAGACGTTCATGGTTTAGATAAACGTTAAGTATTTTTTTACTAAGTTGTATGATGAGCTCACACTGATAATTATGGCATTATCTTTGTTTATGGGTGTATGTCTGTTTCCTTACTTCGGTAATTGACAAGTGCTCTAAATCCGGTTTCTTCTTTTTTCATAGTCTACCTAAAATCTATTTACTTTGTATAAAAAATTGTTTTTTCTCTCTTGTTTCCCACTCATCATTAGACAACATCAGGATCATATTCTTTTGTTGTTTTTGATTTTCTAAGAAAACTTAACCTTGAATTTCACTTTCGTTTACTCATTAAAACGAGTGAAAAGAAGAGCACGAGAAAAATTAACTTCTTTTTCTAGCCACCTGCCTACATTTAAAACACTGAAGATTTTTAAAGAAAATAAGTCTGCCTACGAAAAACGAATGAAAGAAAAGGGGGGGTATAAAAAACCTTATGAAATGATTGACTTCAGTTAAAAAAGAAAGAAATCTGATGAAATTCACATCCGTTTACGCTTATTATCATTATAAAATCTTTATCGGATTGTTAAATAAGGTCATCATCTATCTTGTACACATCATTTGACATAGGGTCTAGAAACGCTTCGAATATTTCTTGAAAGCATTGAATAATTTATTCCATTAATAATAAAAGTAAAAAGAATTGATAGCAAACAGTGAATAATTCATAATGTCTTATACAAAAAGTTGGTTGGAAAAAGAGAAAACTGGCATTCTGTTTATCCTCATAACATTGAAAATAGATAAATTTTGTTAAAAATGAGAATAATATAAAAATTTACAATCCAATTTATTTGTTATATGAATTACTTACTTATGCCTGTTACCCCTCGTGGAGGAGCAATCTTTATCGAACTCTATCCTGGGCAATCATTTCTAGTTGTTATTCATCCTTTTATTGTATTATATATCTTACTGAGAAAAAAAACTATATAGCAAACTAGTCAAGTAAAAGAAGGGGCATGTACCATTCATAATTATAATTAAGATCTCATCTTTTAAATACGCACTATATGGTTTTTTTAAAATACACAATCAAATAATTACTATGGCTAGTAAAATGTTATTTCAATCGAAACAATCGATCCTAACATTTTTTGTTTATATTATTATTGAATATTTTAAAATTTCTATTGTAATGAACATTGATTATATATAAATTAGAACAAAAACTCATAGGTTATAGGATTATGTAATATGTTATTCTTATTATTTAACTCTCCATTGAATACATAAATATATAAATTTTTCACAGATTGAAATCATAAGTCAATTGAAGCTAGACCACCATGGAAAACCCGGAAGCACTGGATGAGCGTCTCTTTCTATTGCGGGACTCCTCAGCAGTGCGCATCCACAATCCCGCACACCGCGACATTCGAACCAAGGACCTACCAGTCCCGCGTCAAGCGCTTAACCAACTAGACCACTGAACCGGTATCCAATGGTGTTAATGTCTAACTTCAACCAATCCACGAAGTTGCGCCACCGTATACCATTGTCTTCAGTGAGTTGATATCTCACAACTGACCTGGTTGAACTCCACTGGTAACGGCTTCTCACTAGAACTCCAGGAGTGTCTCTTGAAGTCACTCACTAGTGAGCAGATGATTATTATCAGATGGAGTCCCATACAAGGACGAAACGGCCGTCCAGTGCTTCCAAGTTTTTCATGGTAGTCTAACTTCAATTGACTCATGATTTCAATCTGTGAAATTTCTAAAATCTCCCTAAACCCCTTGTGATATAAATTTTTTAAAAAAACACAACTTATTTCATTGCTTAATTACTTATTTGTTTTTTCTTTGATAGAGCTCAATAAATACATCTGGAATCCATACAACATTATCAGATTATAGAGAAGAACTTTTGAGTGCAATTTAATTTTCATAAATTGAATGTATCATTTATTTATAACAAGAATAAATAATTATTATTAAAATATAATACTCTGATTATTACACATACATATATGATTCAATAAACAAAAATAAATAATAATTTTCCCATTTTACATAACATCTAACTTCATATTTTCAATTTATAAATAATTTCTAATTTCATCAATATTCCCTCTTTTTTGTTTGTTTGTTTGATTGTTTGTTGCTAACTCATTTTACTTATTTCGTTTATTGATTTAAACATTATTTATTTGTTTCTTTTTGTTGTTTAAATTCTATAAATTAAAAATGAACAAGATTACATCTTTTTGAGTATAATTTTTTTGAATGGAAACAAGAATTTTTTTTCTCTCTTTCTATTTGTTTTATTATCAATAATAAATGAAAGATAGATCCTTATATAGAACCCTATAGATTATTTGTTTGTTGAAACAAAACAAAAAATATAATTGTATAGATATTCAATCAATCAATAATAAACACAATATTATTGATTTTTGTAAATTAATCAAATAAATCGTTGTTGTTTTTTTTTATTTAAAAAAGTTATTTCCTTTAATTCTGTTTCAACGTTTTAAGTGATTGATTTTTCTTCTTTTTTTCGTGTCGTTGTTGATGTTGTTGTTTATATTCATGAATAGCTATTAAATGTTATTATCTCTCTCGTAATGTACTGAATATTAAGCAATGATATTTTTAATATTATTTACTATTATAAGCAAAGATGGATAGTGGCTAGCAGTGGAATCCAGGACGTGCGTTTCGTCCTGTTTGGGACTCGTCAGCTGGATGTACCTGCTTGTAAATTAAGACAATATCGAGGCATACGCACAATATGCACATATGCCAATAAGAGACTGATCAATTTCAGTCCTAAAACATCAATGGGAAGATTCAAGTAAAACAATGTCAAGTGAATTATTTACTATTGTTTATTAATTTTACGAATGATAAATATATATGATCTATACTGGATGATCGTTGAGTAGTAATCAATATCATGTTTGTGTAGCGTTTTTAGTACTTGAAAAATTCTGTCTTACAAGTTGCGTTGTTGCTAATATCATTGCTAGTTAGTAATCACTAACAAATGACATATACAGTAGTAGAGTACTAATGCTTCCTTTTAGGTTTGGTTCTAACTCATTCATTATGAAAGTTCTAAATTGTATAACGGCACTATACAGAGCCTGACTAACGTAATGATCTAAAATATTTACATCGTCTGATCATGTTTGTCTAGCCGTTATTGTTGACCAAATTCTACCTATCAATTTCTAATGTAACTATAAGTTTTTAAAAGATTTAGCTTAGGCAATCAAAAAAATATTTCAAATATAACAAATGCTAACACTATCAAATTGACAAGTATATATATGGCAGAATTATTACAACATATCTTAAAAGTGAGTTCTTATTCATTTCATTTTAAACAACAGTTTTAGAGGTTGCATCGATTAAAGAAAATCATAGAACATTGTTTCAGTACATCATTTTTGGTCGGTTTCAGAAGGCGTCGGTAATGTTACTAAAAACTGATTTCTTAAGATCACAGAATGTAATCAATGTATATGAAAACATCAAATGAATCCAAATATAGCAATGAAAAGCGTGCTTGATAATTTTCTGTCATTTCTTTATGGTTTTCACGAAATTCAAACTAAGAGTAAAATTGATATTGAAACATAATAGTTTGAAAAATCGAAAACTTCTCTCAGAGAGTAATTATTGTTTCTGAAAAAATGTATTTTGATACAAAACAACATCCAGTTCATAACACTCACAGATCATATAAAGAGTTTTTGTTTATTGAGGGAAAAATAAACTTCCGAGTTTTTAGTAATGGTTTAGCTTTGATCGACTCGTGATTTCAACGGTGAAAACAATACAATCTCCATGAATCTCCATACTATATATGGTTATACATATTTCATAGTCATCCCTAATATAAATAGATCCTATGAAATGATTACCTAAGTAACTGTTCATATCAAAACACATTTTATAGTGTAAAAACAACATGAAGAGAAATTAGTATTTTTCACCATTTACTGGTCAATGTTTAAGACAACGGTTACAGAATTTTGATCACCCATTTTAAGGCTGGTAAATCAGAATCGATGAAGTACCTGGGATAAATCTATATAAATTGAATTAAAATACCATTAGAGAAATATTAAAACTGGTGGTTGAACATTTATTGTGTAAAGTGATTCTAAAGTGATAAGTTAATAATGAAGACGAACTCTTTTCAACTGCTCAGTTATACTTACAGAGAGGGGGATATTTAAATGCAGTGGTCATAATCTATTAAGTTCAACACATTTACAGTTAATTTAATTGTTGAAGTTTTAATGAAAATCTGTCACATTTCTGTAGAGACTAGTGATAAGTGACATGATAATTCACCGATAGCATAAACCACTGGATTTTAATAAGGTGCTTTCAAGACTGTTCAGACTTCAAGGTTCTTGATTTTGCTTCATGTATAAACTTGGCTGCTTTAAACACAAGTGAATAGCCACCAAGTTGCTTTACAGCAAATGAAGATTGTTCTACATAACATTATTAAAATAAATAAAACCATATTATTTATGTGTAGGTGAAAAGAAGTAATAAATTTAGATATACTATTTCTATTACATAATAATTCACGAGTATACAAATTTCCAAAAAAGTGTCTTCCACTATTTCACAATTGACTCAAATGTACATGAGATGCTAATAAATGATTATTTAATTATAACTTTATCAATATTTACATAATATTCTTTTATAGTGTGCCACAAAATAACAAATAATGTCAATTTGTAAAGGGGTTTTTGTGGAGATTTTTAGAAATTTCAATAGTTGAAATCATGAGTCAATCGAAGCTAGATCACCATGGAAAACCTGGAAGCATTCGACGGCCGTTTCGTCCTAGTATGGGAATTTTCAGCAGTGCGTATTCACGATCCCACCTCCCGCAACGTTCGAACCTAGGACCTGTTGGTTACGCGCGCGAGCACTTAATCATTAGACCACTGAATCGGTACCCAACGGTGTTAATATCTAGCCAGGTCTGTTGTGAGATATCAACTCACTGAAGACAATGGTATACGGTGGCGCAACTTCGTGGATTGGTTGAAGTTAGACATTAACACCATTGGATACCGGTTCAGTGGTCTAGTTGGTTAAGCGCTTGGCGCGGGACAGGTAGGTCCTTGGTTCGAATGTCGCGGTGTGCGGAATTGTGGATGCGCACTTCTGAGGAGTCCCGCAATAGAAAGAGACGCCCATCCAGTGCTTCCGGGTTTTCCATGGTGGTCTAGCTTCAATTGACTCATGATTTCAACGATTGAAATGTCGATTTCTTTTTGTTTAATATAAAACAAAAGTTAACTGAATTATCTAAGTCATTATAATTGAATGGAATAAATAAATGAAGGCATTTAGGAATAGGACCTATTTATTTAATCAATTTACATGAACTCATTTTTTTGTCTTTTTTATATTAAAACATCCCCTGAAAAAACCCTAATTTTTTTCTCTAAACTGTTTAACTGAATTATCACTTATATTAATTTTTGTTTATTTGTTTTTTTTTTAATCTTTTCAAATTATCTCAAGGAAAGTCAATTAAAGCGGATAAAAAAAGTAAAATAAAAGTGAAACAATAAAACAAAACAAACAAGCACAGATGAAACTCAAGGTTATTTTAAATAAATTAAAAAAAATTTTTTTTAATAATAAGTTTATGAATACACTTGCTCGTTTTGTTTATAATTTATATTTATACATACAAACATACTTGATAACACATATAGATACACACACACAGATACATAGACATACATATATATATATATATACGTTGACTTACACAATACACCATATGGTTCATATATGTATAACGAAAAATAAATAAATAAAACCAGGGTTAAAACGTCTTTTTTTTCTTCTCAACATACTCAGAAAGTTTAACACCTAGTTGTTTATTTATTTATTTATTTCTAATGACAAAAGTGGCTGTGACTTATTTTGTTGTTGATAATTTAAGTGAAAAAAGAAATTCATTCTTTAAGATTTGTGTTTGATAACCAGCTTTAACTAAAATATTCGTATGTCCATATATATATATATATGTGTGTGTATTTGTTGTTGTTGTTTTTTTATAATATTTTATTTTACACATTCATTAATTTATCTTTCATCATTTCATTTCTTCTAGTGTTTACTCGTTTCTTCTTTTCTTTTTCTCTCTTTATTATATTTAATAAAGGGAGGTGAATTTATTATGGTAAAGGGAAATCAATTTGATGAAATATATCAGAAATTAGTTCTTTGTAAAAAAACGGACAAACTTTATATGTGAAGTTAGTTTTTAGATCATTTGCTTACGATTACTCTATGATATATACATATATTCGGGTGAAATATATCAACGCCTAAAATTTTGACTTAAAGCATGTAAGAAAGATGGTTGAAAAATTAATTTACATTTGAAATGTTTAACTGTAAAATCATGTTTACCTATAAATTAGATTACCTAGTTCAGTTCAATCGACGTTAAGTTTATTTCCTTTGTTTAGTAACGAAGGTATTTACGTATATTTATATGATCATGCCAATAATTACTACTAACAATATTTAGTACATTTTCACGTTTTTAGTGAAATTAATTTACCGATAGTTTTTATTAGGAGGGTCCACAAACTAAAAATGAACAGAATGGGGTTATGTAAATTAATGGATTTCATTAAAGTGATGAACCGATCTAGGCTAGATCACAAATGAAAACCTATAAGCACTGGATTAGTTTTGGGAAAAAATCTCTGGAATTCTAATGAGAAGCTGTGACGAGTGGAGTTAATCTCTGTCCAGTATGAGGTAGTTAATCGCTGGAGACAATGAAAGGCGGCTGAGCAATATCGTGGAGTGATTGAAGTTAGATATTAACACCGTAGGATACCGGCTCAGTGGTTTAGACGTTAAACGTTTGCGTTCAAACTCGAAGGCCCTAAGTTCAATTCCCGGTTTCGGGTTCACAGATGCGCACTGCAGAGGTGTCTCATATAATTTTATGTTTAATAAGTGTTAAATCTAGGCATCTACAATTTGATATTTTACTAGATGATAATTG